TTTATGTAACTCAATCGTTTTAGTTATATTCAAGCTTAAAGTTTTGCAGAATTGCCACCACCATAGCTCAACTGGTTGAGCTGGCGACCCATATACTGGGGCTCCGACACAGTGGTCGTGGGTTCGAATCCAGCCCATAGCCATTTGCTGCAGGTCCATCCCCCATTCTTCTCCCCACTTTCCTGTATCTCTCTCTACTGTCCTGTCAAAAAAAGGCAAAAATGCCAACAAAAAAAAAAAGTTATGCAAGGGCATGGTCTCTTGGAGTGACAGATGGGTGCCGTTTGCATCGCCCACGTCATCTCGACTCATGCTCCACCTCATTTGTCAATTAACTGGCAGTTAGGAAACCTATAGTAGAGTAGTGGTCTTCATACATGGTGTATGACTGAATCAGATAAACTAAATCGGTGTGCTTGAGAGTTGAGGGATTTTTTTTGCAAGATTTTATGATTATTTATCCACAGAGTCATATATTACAGGGAAATGGCATTTTTTAAAACCAATATTTCAGATGCACTTACTTCATATTGTACCACATAAGGTGGTTTGGATGATACGGATAACTTTTGTGCAACTTGTCTGACTGTGTGAATAAACAGGATTTTGCCCGTCCAGCTTTTTAAAATACGTCTGTGCTATTTTAGTCCACTGTATCAATTTAAGACTGCACATTTAAATGTGTACTTGATGCCAAAGCAGCTTAAAAACTGTCTTTAATGTACATAAACTTTGCTGGATCAGTTTATGTCCATTGATTTTGCTGCTGCTCCTGATGCATCCATGATTCCATTCAATTAAAGCGACTTCTTTACGACGCTGCTTACTGTAAATCCTCTTGTATTTACTTGTGGAAACTTTAAACAGACGTCAGCATTGGGACTTTTTTTCTTTGTTCCACGCCATCATTCTGAAACTTTGTTATGAAATGAGCTCAGCGCTGCAAAATAAAAAAATCCCATCCATTTCCTTGTTTACCTCTGCGTTTATCTGCTCTCCACCGCCGCCTGCACCGAAGTGCAAACTGCCCTACTGACACCCTGCCAGCCTATATATAGACTGACAGCCCAATGATGTCACTGAGGGAGCTTGTCCAGCGGGCCGGTGGGGGCGGCGCAGCGGGGCGAGCGAGTGTATATGTGTGTGTTTATGTGGTGCTGCTGGTGGTGGTGGTGGTGGTGGTGGTGGGGTGTGGGGAGTGATTAATGAGGACTGGAATGTAGAACGTAAACAAACTCGACCTCGCCGTCACCTTTCATTCACAAAACTGGCTCGGCTGACTGACTTTTTTTTTTCCTCTCTCTCTCTTCCCCCCCCTCCCCCCTTAACCACTACCACCCCTCTGGATTATGTCACCCGCTGACACACACACACACACACACACACATCAAACGTCAGCCACATGCCTCTTGCACACACACTTTTTTTTTCCCCCCTCATCGCCTCCTCTGTCATTTTTTTTCTCTCTCTCTCTCTAAATGTGGAACAGAGGGCACTTGAGTTCACGCTCTCCTCCACCTCTCCTCCATCTTCGTACCCCTCCCCTCCCCTCCCCTCTCCATATTATGTATTTGTCTGTCTGCCGGCTCGCTCTTGAAGAATGCCAAACCTCTTAACCTTGGCTAACCCCGCCATTGTTTGCACTTCTCCACGTGGGCACGAGTGTGCATGTTCATTTTTATTTTGACGCCGGGGTATCCCAGCAAGGGAAGAATTCTCGCTGACCCTTCGTTGCCCTCTCTCCTACCTCTGCTCATCATCATGGGATAACCATCTCTCCCTGTCTCTCTCTTACTCTCCTCTCTCCTATGATGTAGAGGCAGGGGGTATCATTGAATAATTCAGAATTAGCATGAATTTTTAAAGCTTAAGTCTTTCGGGGTTTTTTTTTTTCCTGTGGAAACGTGTGGTGCAGGGAAAGGCCACTGAGGCTCTTTCAGAGAAAGGCTTCTTACGCTAAATGCTCATTAAGATACTTTCATATTCTCCCTCTCTCCATCTTTGTCATCTTTTAGCTGGGGCAGTCCACATTTTCCCATTAAACCTGCTTCTGGGAATTTGTATCCCCTGGTTTCATATGCTGGGGGGTTCTTTGTGTGGAGGGCTCTTGTAGCTCTGAGCTCTCCGAGTCGTCTGAACTGAGAAAGTCGAGGAAATGTGGTGTCATAACAAGAGAGCACGCTAACCCAGTTTTAACCCCAGTTTGAGTCTCCGTGTGGAGGGATATGCTTTATTTCCCATGAAGTCGTCAGCACAAGTTTTCTCGACGTCATTTGATTTTTACCCCACATACAGTACACTCTCTTCAGATGCATCTCCGCCCCCAAGCTCAGCCCTCCACATGAACCCCTTAACAAGTCCATGGCACACCTAAAAAAAGCCAGCTAAACCATCTTCAAACAGCTTTCAAATTAAGAGCAGCGCTGCGACCGCCCGAGTGAGCTATTCCCTCTGAGAAATCCTTCCCTTTTCCCCACTGCGTCCTTCTGCACATCCTCACCCAGCCTCCTCTCCTTCCGCTAGCCCCTCTTTAGCAGTCCCTCCGTTCCCATCTCTTCAGCCCTCATGTAGGCTGTTTGCTCGGGCTCAGTTCTCATGTAGGGCATCAACGGCGAGTGCTCTGGCCTTAAGCCCAAAGTTATCTCCCTTAAACAGCACCTTGCTGCAGTGAAATCCCACTTTGGCCGTTCTAACTCAAACCAGCTCCGAGATCGTATCTGTAAGACGCGGGGGAAAGATCTCTGCAGGTCGGAATGTGTTGCGTTTTTTTTTTCTCTGTGAATTTCATGAATCACGCGGTTGTAATAATTCCACTTGTGTCTCCCAGCTAATTCAGGCGGCTCCCTCCAAGGGCCGCAGACGCCCCAGTCCTCTGGCAGCAGCTCCACAGCGGAGGCAGCAGGGGACCTGAAGCCCCCCACGCCTGCCACCACCCCTCTGGGACAGGTCACACCGCTGCCCCCCAACAGGTACCACACAGACGGACTGTGCTGCTACTACTAGTGCTTGATTTCACGCTGGCACTTATGTTACCACTAAGTGTTACTTAATCTCCCACTTCTACCAACACAGCAGTAGGAACTCCTTTTTTTTTCTCCCCGGTATGATTAATTTACTTTTGCTTTCTGCTTGTTTTCTCTCAACAAGTTATGGGTTTGTGTCATGTTCAGCTGTACAAACCTATAACAGCATGAACTTTGTCTAATGAAAACTACACTCGAGTGAATTTAAAAGGCAAAGATCTCAGTGTACAGCTGTGTTTAGGTGTGACTAGCATTTTGGTTATTGGCTCTTTATATGAGGAGTTAAGTCGTCCTCCTTCATTTCTGCTGATACCGATTAGAAACCTCAGAGCAGAGGTGCAGAAGTTCTTTGTTTGCTTGCTTTGTGATATTATGTGAGAAGAATAATTCAGTGTTGTTAAGCATCATTTAAGCACATTCTGAAGAGGCACTCACATGTTTATGACAAATACAACAAAAAAAGTAATTAGATTAAAAAATAAGAATTTAATAAATCCCGTTAAGTACCGCCCTGGAGTTCTTGACATGCTTGCGCTTGCTATTGTGTTCTCCTTTATTCTTCTGCTCCATATTATTTTAGATACTTCCTGCTGCATTACTGTTACTTTTAAGATCAAGGTTCTGCATACACACATTAATATAAACTACCAAACAGTATACTAAAATCAGCAATTAAATTCAAAATCTTTTGTATTTCATATCAAAGCTACTTCATTTAAACAATTAAAATGACAACATTGTTTCCTAGAAATTAAAGCGCTGCATCGCACAGAACATCCTGTTAATGCTTCAAACCATCGTCAGTACCTCTCTCTTACAGCTTCCTCCTCCTTATCTCCCCCTCTTTGTCCAGGAGCAGTGTAAGCATACAGGACCCCTTCTCGGAGGTGAGCGACCCGGCCTTCCAGAAGCGGGCTCCCACCCTGCCCCCCTCGGCTCCTTACCAGCAGGGCCTCAGCATGCCCGACATGATGATGAGGATGCAGTACGACGCCAAGGACCCCTTCGCCGGCATGAGGAAGAGTGAGTGAGGCGCACGCTCTGACACCTTTTCACCCCGAAACTCAAGGCCTGAGCGTTTTTGTTTTAATCAACTTCAACAACTCAACAAACACACTGAAAACTTCTTCCTTAAACTTGGTATAAACTCATACGGCTCCTTGCCAAAATGACTCATGTATCCCAAAGCCATTGTTCTTTTCATCTGGCTCGTCGGCCTAATTCGTTGTCTCGTCATCATGTCATCTCACATCAGGACAGCTGTGTGTGTGTGTGTTTCCACTACAAGAGCTATGAAAGGAGACGAGAACTGTTTGTTACACCACGCGTCCCTTTATCGAAAAACACGGCAGCCCGTCTGATGTTCTTGTAGCTTAGCCTTCGTCTCATCCTAACTTTGTTCATCCTTTTCATCCGCCTCATTTTCAACCTTTCATCCTTTCCACCCCGCTGAGAAGCACCTGTTTTGACCAACTCGTGCGGTTTAGTTTTCAGAACAAACAGTAGTTTTAGAAAGAATGGCGGCTCCTCTGAAGGCTGGAGAGAATGGAGTCTGAATGAATAATATGGTGGATGATAGCTGCATAACAACGCTTACAGCCTCAGAACAATAGGTTTAATCATTGCAAGGCGGTGAATATTCATAGAGGGATGCTGCCACCTGCTGGTAAGAAGAAAATATGATTTGAGCATTTAAAAGAGTGCTCTGCTGCTTGTTTCCAGAACATATAGCTAAACTTTTTTCCCTTCTCCATACCTTTTAAATGTTATGCTGTGTCATTTTGTTTATGTTGTCTTGATTGTGATATTTTGAGATGCATTTAACCGGTTTGTTTTCTTCCTGCACAGTGGCAGGAGCGGATCCCTACATGCCAGGCCAGATGCCCGGTGGTGGTATGCAGGAGATGTATGGTCGTCCCCCGTCAGCCCTGAGCATGAGCCAAAGGTCACAGTACCCGTACGGACCAGGCTACGACAGGAGGTACGCACACAAAACGCCCAGAGAGGGTTATCATATTGGGCTTTCGTATTATTTCTTAAATAGCTAAATGTTGACTAGTAGTGTATAATAGACATCATGACAGTGAAGCATGAAGACTCTCCTGTTTAATCCTCAGACCGGACCATGTGATGGGGATGGAGGGAACCATGGGTCCCCCTGGGAGTCAGAACAGCATGGGGCCTTCCAACAGCGAGGGCAGCATGTACTCTCCCAGCAGATACCCTTCACAGCAGAGGTCAGCGCTCTCATGTGTGCATGTTTAGCAGAGTGTATAAAAGTCAGATAAGAAGGTGAACTACATGTCTGCTTTGCTGCGTATTAATCAGTGGGTTTCCTCTCTCTCTTCTTTTTTTTTTTTTCTATTTCAGACACGATGGCTACGGCCAGCAGTATCCCAGCATGCCATATGGGATGCATCCATCTGGGATGTACCCACAGCAACAGGTGAGAGGCGGATCATCTGTATGTTCTCAGTACTGTTGACTGGACTTTATGCTGTAGGTTTCACTGTATTAACACCTCCTAGACTTATTACTGAAGAAATCCCAGAGAGACATCCTGTTCGTTAGAGCAGTCGTTAACTGGAAATATTCTAAGAATGTCAGGCCAAGGATAATAAATTAAACCTGTAACTGCATTAAACAATGAGTAATATATTGTATATTGTGGGTTTTTGTTTCTAATTTTTCTTTGGACATTTTTGTTTCTTGTGGGCATTTCATTATGATAAAATCAATGTCTTTTTTATCCACACTAATAAAGTAAAGTCGACCTTTGCTTGCTAATATTGAGCAGTCCCTAATAATGACACTCGTGAATTGGCTTAATCAATGATCCAGTCTTGACTGTGTACATTATTTTTCAATCTGATAAAAGTTTTTAATGTAATAAAGGAGTAAAGTCGAACTTTTTTTAGTGTCTTAGTTGAAAATATCGTCTGTTTATTAGTAGTAGTAAATGAACAGTAAGTAGGTGAGTAAACTTTATGAAAATGTACCATATCGATTGTAATGCTGCCTCACGGTGGACGTTTTCAATGTTTTTGGCCTCACACTGTGCCAGCGTCTCAGATTCAGTAAGAAACCAAAAATGTTTCAAAGATTTATCCCGGCAGCCATCTTGGTAGCGCACCTAGCCAGTTATTTCAGGCTAACAACGCAGCCCTCTATTTAAATAAAAGGAAATGCAATTTTAATTGTCAACAGGACATAACAACTACATTTGTTGTTGTACTTCTACTATGTATATGCACAGCTTGACCTCACTTGAGTAAGTGCAGCAACACGATTGGCTGTAGCGTTTCTCAGTTCAACTGTTACAAAACACAAGATTCACTTTTTGGAGGAAAGGGGCGGGACTTGTCATACCATCTTTGGCGTAACTGAATTCTCTTTAAACTAATTCTATTGTATGTATAAATGAAGTTATTTGTAGTTATCATTGATAAAATTTTGAAGACTACTAAAGCAATGGAATGAAGACATTTCTTGTGTCATGGATGTGCGTTTTGATGGGATTAGCATAAAATTAGCACTGACAATATGCTTCCTTGCTTCAGCAGGGCTACAAGCGGCCCATGGATGGAATGTACGGCCCCCCGCCCAAGAGACACGAGAACGACATGTATGCCATGCAGTACACCAGCCAGCAGCCGGACATGTACAACCACTATGGCGGTGGCTATTCAGGCCCGGAACACAGGCCGATCCAGGGACAGTTCCCTTACCCTTACCCCCGCGACCGTATGGCCCCCTCAGGGCAGAGCCAACACAGTATGATGGGCGGGGGGCCCACTCCTAATCACGCTGCTGATGGGCCCAACATGTGGCCTTCGAGAACAGACCTCGGCTATCCTTACCCTAACAGACAGGGGCCGCCGTCACAAATGCCACCTTTTGGTTCGATCTGTAGAGACGACATGGACGGTCGGCAGGAGCAGTGGCACCGTCAGTCCCCCTACATGTCATCGTCAGGTGGCATGCCTCCCTTGTCTTCACGCCAGCCCTCATCTTACTCCAACTCCCCGTCCATGGCCAACCACCTGCCCAGAGCACCAAGCCCAGGGGCCTTCCAGCGCTCCATGGACTCCCGAATGTCACCCAGCAAAGCACCCTTCATGTCACCCATGAAGATGCCTAAGCCCGGGTTGGCCATGATGGGTTCTCAGGGCAGTGGACCCATTGGTCAGTTTCCTCCTAACCTGAGGAGGGATCTCAACTACCCTCCAGGGTCGATGGAGGCCACCATGCCGATCCTCAAGCCTCGACGCAAGCTCACGTCCAAAGACAGTGGTGAGATGGAGTCCCATTCTTTCAAAGAACGAATGGTGGTTTAAGAATATGCACTGCTGGTTGTTTAATTCTACTTGTTCATGTTCTAGCTTGCAAAGTTGCGGTTCAAAGTATTTTCATGCTATTAAAGGAATACCATTTTAGCGCTGCTGTACAGTTAAATTCAATTTTCAGGTAGAACTAGCGCAACATGAGGCAAATTTTTATTAAAGGAATTACAATGATCCACTCTGTTCTGTGTCCCTTTTATCATTTGGACAAAGTCTGATGATTTTTCTCTTCCTGGTTCCAAAAATCCCCCTGTTTTAATCTCAGGAACGCCTGAGGCCTGGCGCGTGATGATGTCTCTGAAGTCTGGCCTGCTGGCAGAGAGCACATGGGCTTTAGACACCATCAACATCCTGCTGTATGATGACAGCACTGTGGCCTCCTTTAACCTCTCCCAGGTAAAACCGGTTTAATGACTTTAACTCACAAATGACTGACAGAACAGATTCATTTAGCCCCGTCAGAGCATGCTGTGACAGTGTGACGTCCAGCGTGTTCCTTTAAACCTAAATATAATCACACCATTTTGAGTTTTCATTTCAGTCCAAAGGATTTCAGGATAGTATGGCTATTTGAAAACAAGCGATCTGAATAAAAAAAAATCTCTCTAGATTTTAATTCTGGCTTTTGTTCACCATCTGGGACTACTTGGCAACACATGTCTCGTGTCTTTCTGCCTAAATTGTTGACAGTGATGATATTTTGTCTTTGCTTGATCAGTTGCCTGGATTCCTGGAGCTCATTGTGGAGTACTTCCGTCGCTGCCTGATTGAGATCTTTGGCATCCTGGAAGAGTTTGAGGTGGGGACTGTGGCTCACAAAAGCCTTTTGCATCCTGCTTCCACCCAGAAAGAAGGACATATCCCTGACCAGGAAACAAGCTCTACCGTCCAACCTGAACCGGAGTCCTCCCCAGCAACGGAGATCCAGGTGGACCAAGCAGGAGACATGGTGGAGGAAACTCCACCCGTCGCCGCAGAGCCAGCTGAGGTAAGCAGCGAGAAGGAGGAGCCAGACGTGAGCATAAAAAAGGAGGACAAGAATGAAGAGGACAGCAAAAAAGAGGGAAAAGAAGAAGAGAGCGAAAAAGGAACGGGGAGTAAAAAGGAGTCTGCGGATCAGCCTGCTGCAGAGTTAGAACCTAAACCCAAACAAGCCAGCAAATATGATAAGCTCCCCATCAAGATTGTCCATAAAGAGGACCTGATTGAAGACATGACCGAGCACTTAGGTTACGTCACTGAGTTCACCAGTGGGCTGCTACACTGGCAGGCTGGTGGAGGCGACTCCACCGCACACATTCAGACACACTTTGAACCCCGGAGCGAACAGCCTGCCAGGGCGGACGAAAAGACAAGAAACGGGAACAAACAGGAAAACGAGACGGACGACGAAAAGAAACAACCACTAAAACATATCACTGCTACTATTGATGATGTTTTGTGCGCCAGGGTTGACGCCCTCTCTTACGCCCACCCTGCACGCTCCCTGCCATCTTACCCCTTCAGGGTGCATCCAGATGGGGAGCAGGACCACATCACCTTGCTCGAGGACGAGCCCCGCTGTCTGGACGAGGCCCCGCTCACCACAACCTCTGCCTGGCAGGATTCTCTGTCCAAGCGATGCCTCTGCATCTCCAACATCGTCCGGAGTCTGTCCTTTATCCCCGGGAATGACTTGGATATGTCACGCCACCCAGCTCTGGTTCTTCTTCTGGGCAGGCTGCTCCTGCTGCACCACCTGCACCCGGAGAGGAACAGGGCGCCCCCTAGCTACCAGAGAGACGAGCAGCAGGAGCGGGGCCTGTCGAGTAGCAAAGAGGAGTGGTGGTGGGAGTGTCTGAGCCTGCTCAGGGAGAATGCCATGGTCACTCTTGCCAATATTTCGGGCCAGCTGGATCTCTCCACCTATTCAGACACTATCTGCCTCCCCGTCTTGGATGGCCTTCTCCACTGGATGGTTTGCCCCTCAGCTGAAGCCCAGGACCCCTTTCCATCAGCAGCGCCCCACTCCCAGCTCACTCCCCAAAGGCTGGTGCTGGAATGCCTCTGCAAGCTGAGCATCCAGGAAGGCAACGTCGACCTCCTGCTAGCTACGCCGCCTTTCAGCCGACAGGAGAAACTCTTTACGGTCTTGGTGCGCTACGTGGGTCAGAGGAAGGCCCAGGTGTACAGGGAGATGGCGGTGGCGGTCCTCTCCCACCTGGCACAGGGAGACCCCACAGCGGCACGTGCCATAGCCATGCAGAAGGGCAGCGTGGGTAATTTAGTGGGCTTCTTGGAGGATGGTGTTAGCATGGCGCAATACCAGCAGAACCCTCACAGCTTGCTGCACATGGGGCACCCTCCTATGGACCCACCCAGTATAAACATGATGTGCAGAGCAGCTAAAGGCCTGTTGGCTATGGCTAAAGTGGAGGAGAACAAAACAGAGTTTGTACTGTATGAAAGCAGATTATTAGACATCTCAATTTCCTCGGTGCTCAACGCGGGAGTGGTTGCCATTATTTGCCAAGTTCTGTTCCACTTAGGGAAATTATGACAGGAGGAGAGGCAGGACTCGCGCGGCAGACACTAAGGCTAACAAGAAATTTCTGTGGTTTTCTATTTTTATTTATCAAAATGACAGAAAATGTTTGTGTTTTTTAAAAAGAAATATCCACATAAACAAAATGTCTCTATATATGTATAGCTTCTGGGCCCTGTTTAAAAAAAGAAAAAGAAAAAAAAAGTGGGTTTGGGATTTGAAAGCTCATTTTAATACAAATATTTAATACCTGCTGGTGTTGGATTGCTACGTTTGATATTTTGTTTGGCATTTGTTTTCGTTTGTTTACTTTTTCAGCCAAAGCTGCCACCAGACGTTGGTGCTGAATTACGTGGTTCCTTTTGAGTCGATGAGATGTTTTTCAGTTTTATAAATGCTAATATACTCATCAACATTTTGTTAATGGAGAGTATTTATTTAAAATGTGACACTGTACAGTAGTTTGAACTTTTTTGCCAACAGTTGTCGGGGAGGGGGGGGAGAAAAAAAAACACTGACTTTTTAAACTGAAATGTATATGTCTCCATCGCTGGAAGATACATTGTGCAATAGGACTAGAGCAAGTTGTCCCTTTTTGAGAACAGGAGGATGTAGATCTTCGAAGACACCCGCAGTGTGTGCTTTAGGCCATGAGGAGGCAGCATTGCACCAGCCAATCAACATAAGAGAAGAGCATCTGTCAAAAAAGAAGTGTCTAATTTATCAATCATAGCCTCAGTGACTTTCACAGATGAACTTTGTGTTTCCTAAGCACTTGTGTTATGTCTGTATTTTTTCATCACTGTGTATATAAACCGTTGTACAATGGACGCACATGATTCTTTCGGTCTCTATCGAGCATAGCAGGAGATGGGACTTTCTGACTATTATAACAAATGCTTTTATTGTTGGTAAAATTTGGTATTGTTATTATACATATTTTGTTAATGAGGTCAGATATTTGAACATGGCAGATGTACCTGATGTTTCAATGTAAAAAAAATTCCTGTATGCATTGTATTATAGCTGAGAAAACAATCGCTTTGGTAATCAAACGTGGAAGTGCCAGGGTGAGAGGATAACTAGGTGAGGTTACACGAGAAAAACTGAACATGTTTCTGTTCGTTACTGTCCTCCATTCATGTCAATGGGCATATTTTTGAATCTACATAATGCTCTAAAAGAAACATGTGAAAAGAACCTTCAAAATGTCCTGAAAGCTCATTGTAAAATTTGCCTTTTTTCATATGACTCCATGTCTCTTTTATTCAGTATACACATTTATACTCTGTGCTGCACATGTCACAAATAAATGTACGATGAACATCGTTAAGCACTGGAGACGTTGCATTATGTCCAGACAATCTTAGGCCAATAAAACAAACATCAACTGCTTACTTGGGCTGTCTTCTATTGATTTCATTATCAGAGCAACAGCTGACTTTTGCAGCCTTAAAGTGTTCCTTTACATCAACCAAAACACTGCAGCGTGTACGTTTGTATGTTGTCTGACTGATCATTTGCTTGTATTTAATCTTAACAACAGATGGCTGTTATTGAGGTCTATGATGCATTTTAAATATTTTATGTTAAGATGATAATTAAATTAATATTTTAGAGCAGGCTCATAGTGCTCCTGACATTACATTCAAACAATAACACATTTAATTAATAATAACTGTTAATTAGTACAGTAACATTTTCTTTCTGGGAATAAGTAAAGTATTTACTGAATGCATGCTGATTAAGATGGAGCTATTTAGTTGTGTGATTAAACACAATATCGCAGCAACTCTCTGACGGTTTATACAATGAAACACGTCCCAGTTTCCAGCCCTGAGGTACACCCAGACACTGAGTGGTGTCTGATTTTTTCATTGTGTCAAGGACCAGCTCACGCTTATCACTATTTGTTGGGGACTTTGTAAAGGTGCTGCAGACACAAAAACCTTCCATTGATTCTATTGATTCCCTGACTAAACTCTTGCTTCAGTCAGTTTTGACTTCATGCGTCTCACTTTCTCTATTCAACAAGCTTAAACTAGGGCAGTGGGTTGGCCAATTTCAAAATAGTTGCAAAATGTCATAATTAATATATCAGATTAAATAATGACGCTTAATAATTTAGTTATTCGGCTGGTTCTTAACTGCACAAGTCCCATTACTGTTCTTATGGGACTCTAATCTCACTCTTGACAGCTGCCTCTTAGAACAACAGTTTGCATCATTTGCTCATTAAGAAAGAGGTCAGTGGCCTTTTTCTAAATCCCAGCAAAGCGCTCACAGCGTCCAGTATCGTCTCAAAGCTTTTCTGCGACTAAGTTCAAGTAAGGAAAGGAAAATCATCAAACTTAAGACAACAAGAATAGAATAGAATAGAATAGAATAGAACTTTATTGATCCCTTTGGTGCAAACCTCAGGGAAATTGTTGAAATTGTTGAATCTGAGAGCTGTTGTGAAAACATGAATAATTTTAAACCTAGAGACACAAGGACATCAGTGATTTCTCTTGTGAGAAGCAAACCACCTTGGAATTAATCTTTCCAAAACTTTCATTTTGCAGCATTATTAGAAAAATGTTTGATTGCCAGGAAAAGATTCTTAGAGTGCACACAATGGTTTGGTTTATGTTAATTTTGCTTTGTTTCCTGTTTTTGTTGTTGATTATAGGACATGTTGGCAACTTTAACATCTATTTTGTTTTGTGATTTCTGTGCATATAGTGATGTTAATCTACAGGTTGTGTTTCTCCTATTTGACATCACTTCGTCGACCTTTCAACCACAGTCCTGCTTGATCTGAGTTCATCAAATCTGCACATTAAATTATTAGTTTAGTTTTGACCTTCTGTGACTTTAACCACGTTGAAGAAAAGGAGAAGAAATATCTGTTGTCTTTCCTTCTTTTTTTTTTACTCAAAACTGCGCAACGAATCCCATGACCACATTACATTTGACTTTTAACAACTGCGGCTTTATTCACAATTTTAGAAATGTTTGACCTCGCGACCTAGTTACAGACCTCTGGAGTCAAGTCGCATTATTCAGCAGGCATGTATTAACGGTGAGGATGGGGGATATGTTGACTTTACGTGGTGTTCAATGCCGTCATAAAGTGTCGAGACAAACATGGCAAGTCATTCATGCATTTAAAATAGAGTAGTCATGTTCGTTATAGTAATTTACTGATACAGTTTGTTATGGAGGATACCAGAAAGTCTCCTATATGATACTGCATGAAGGTCTTAAAAGTAAAAATGTGAGCAGAGAATTGTGGTGCCAAAGATTGACAGTGGTGTAAATGGTCAACATGAAAACAAAGATAATGTTATTACAGTAAATCCATATCACATTTTCTTATTTCCTTCAGTTTTTTTCCCTTCATAATTGAATCTCTAATCTAATGTTTGTTATTATTATAATTTCAGAACACAAACATCGGATATAAACAGAAGACACATGAATGATGCGCTCAATACTCCTATTTTATCCTAAACTCCCTTTTATAGTACTTTCTCTGGCAGCACTTAGGAAAAAAAAGAGACACAACTGCCAACAACCCATTTTATTTTGTTCCACATAATAAATGCATCAGCTGCTACTTTCTGTTTATTTTTTATTGAATAGTCTTTTTTTTTTCTTCCAAAGATTTTTATTTTTTTTTTACTTCTTCTTGAGTTACAATTGACATCTTTATCACTCCCTTTCCTTTGCCAGGGGATATGCAAGGATAATATCGAGTCCTATTTTAAGCTGCCTTTAATAATAGCATTCCTGAGGTTGACAACAAAGGCAATAACCAGCCTCGTCACAGTTTAGGCTTCAAAGAAAGATAGTTCGCCGGGTTTCCTGGCTGCAGAAAGGTGCGATCACTCATCCTCATCTTATTAAAATGTTAGCGACACCTTAAAATGAATGTCGGTGGTTAACGGTTTGATTGATTTCTAACTAAAGCCCGTAAGTCTTGGCGTCTGACTGCATTGTTGTTGCGCATTATAAACAGACCCCTGAACGTTTTCAATTTCAGCATGTCATTTGGAGTTTGGAGGGAAAGTGGGTTGCTGTACTTTTTTGGTGATGGAGGATGCGTTTCACGTAGGCAGCCAACCGCAGGAGAAAACCTCCCACACTCCTGTGCCTCTGAAAAGCTGAGTCATCGAGCTCTGACAGGATGGATGTGGTGGCTGGGAGGAAGCCTGGGCCCGTCATTGGCTACTGCTGGCCTGGGTACCCTCTCCTGCCGGCTAACGTAGGTAGATGAATGAGAATTGGGTGAAAACAGCAGAGACTGCGCTGACCTTTCCAGTGATGAGACATAACATATGTGTGGTAGCAGCGGTGCGTTCACCAAATCAGGCCACGTTTAATAACTGTGGGCATGGAGAGTATATTAGCCTCTTGATGAGGCTTTGATCTGACTGTGTTCTTTCATCCGGTGCAGCTTTCTAAACGAAACAATACTGCCTGGATGAGGCCTTGGCAGGATGTGATTCAAGCCCATGTTGTTCTTGGATTTGCACTCAAAGGGTCTATCATGTCCACCCATTTCCCACCACAAACATAGCTCCAGCCATATGTCAGCACGCTGCCTAATGAGCGCCACGGTTAAGGAATTAGTCTGGAGGGCTTACAGATCATTAGCAACCATTAAAAACATCCACAGCTTTCCAACAGATTAAGTGCAGCATGTGCCACTTGGTAGCTTCACATGCCCAGCAGTGGCAGCTAGTCATGCTCTCCACAAGTGTGCATCTCACAGCTCTGCGCGCAGCCGCTTCCTCAGAAATACCATATTGTATGTGTGACTGTGTTTAACCTCTGATCAGATCAATGAGCCTGAATACTCGATACGACTTCCATACAACAAATGCATTGGCGGAACATAAAAGTGCAGTGAAAATAGATGTTTTCCTTCCTTGCAAGATGTTTGATTCTGAACAATTAAGTCGTCTCACATTACATGAAAAGCAGCCGGGCTTCTTTTCAGAGAAAGTGGATAATTGCACGGCTGTGGGAGTGAATGAGCTAAACCGCCTGAGTGACTTCAGAGCTGGATGAGGAGGTGTGTGTGTGTGAGTGTGTGTGTGTGTGTGTGTGTGTGTGCACGTGTGTGTTAGTGCATGTGTAGGTGTTAAGCTGAGGACAGATGACAGAGGAGCTGTAGGACGATGATGAAATCATCTGTACTAATCGAGCCGAACAGGAAATTGCATCACGGGTGAACTGTACTCGGCGTGCGAGCGGAGCACGAGTGTGGCGACATCACCTCATGTCTGTTTTCACCAGAAACACAGTTAATATGACTGACAGCGCCTGCATGTAGTGTAAGCAAATGTTTGATTTGTCAGCCTTTTTATCTTCCGAAATCCTGTTGAGTCATTCAACAGTCATCCTGTCTGTTAAACTTGTGCTCCAGAGGACATTCCTGAAGTGAACTTTGGGGATTTTTTGCAGTTGAGAACACAACAATAAAGAGGCTTCATATCGATAGATCTATTATATATACACTGTGAAATAATAAATATTATGGTTCACATTAAATGTAATTATTTTTCCTTGATTTGTCAAAGATATTTAATGGACTACAGTTTGTCATGTCCTGCTGCATTTCAATACATTCTCTTAATCCATGAAAACATGACTTGCCTTATCCCTTATCCTTTATTGTTGTATGTAGATTAGTGGGACATGCATTTTTTAATTCAGAGATGGGATCAGTTCTGCATCATACAGATTAAAGGCACATTGTTATTTATGGTATGTATCTGCAATTCACAGTTTCTACATTTTTAAAGAAAAGAAGGTTGGACTTTACAGGCAGCGACAGACACAGTTCATGATTGATCATCGTAGCAACACTGTAAATACAATATATTGGAAACAGTAAACACTAAATGTAAATAAGTAAATGAATAACTAAATAGCAATAGTAATACTGCAAAAATACTGTAAAAAATACTGGTGACCATAGCTACCAGTTTATTTCATTGCAATTTTTCTGGAAAATATGTTGCAGTGTAGGTGTCTCGGTGGTTAGCACCGTTGCCTCACAGCTAGAAGGTCACCGGTTTGCGTCCCGGTGAGGACACCCGGGATCGTTCTGCGTGGAGTCTCCATGTTCTCCCCGTGCAGCGTGGGTTCTCTCCAGGTTCTCCAGCTCAGCTAGGTGTGAATGTGAGTGTGCTTGGTTGTCTGTCTCTAAGTGTAGCCCTGTGATAGACTGGTGACCTTCACCCTGAGTCAGCTGGGATAGACTCCAGCCCCCTGTGACCCTAGTGAGGATTAAGCGGTGTATTGATGATGGATGGATGTTGCAGTGTAGTTTGCTGGGAGACATCCACTATAATATCAAACATTACATATCTTCCATTTTTCCTGGTGTTATGGGCTGGTTCCATGCTAGTTTACTAGAAAGTGTATTCTGAGAACAGGCTACTGTCATTCCACTGAACACCTTTTTTTCTTCTGTTGTCTGGCTCACTGCACATATGGATTTTCCCACTTTGCCTTCAAGCTCCCTGCATATTTAACTAACATGGCATGAATAGAAGTGATAATACGAAGAACAGAATTTGCCCATTTTATAATTTTAAACATCCTGTCATACGTTTTATAGGTGTGGTTACAATAGTAGTGGAGGCTGAAAATATCTTCTGAGCTGCAGGAGATGTTTTTTGTTGTTGTTGCGGTACCACAGTTGGCCACCAGTCACTTAACAATTATCTCATCGAGCCACTGTCATTCTCTGAGTCAGTGTCAATGTGACTCCCCCAGTTCCTCTGTGCTACCTATTTCCATTTTCGTTCATTCCTACCGAAGACAGCAGTATTTTATTTTTCAGTGCCTTTTGTGTTTCTGTCTGTGAGCAAGAGTCTTCTATACAAAGGCGGTTAGAGTGGCGATATTTTGTCAAGATATCGTTGTCTGGATACAAAACCTGTGTGTAGCTGTAGCGCCCTGCCAGCGCTTTTCTTCAAAAGAAAGTTTCTATATAGGCCTTGACAGAGCAGCAGCTTGTTTTAGTTTTACCTAATTAAAATAATCATTATCATAATCAAGACACATCAAAAGCATAAATTATAACAAATAAGCTTCCTTAACTTGCAATAGTGCACTGACGGCATTTAGCTGGGGTGTTGTCATCGTCTGCCAAATACTGACTGTGTGCTGGAGGGTAAAGCTGTATTACTTAATTTGTAAATGTCTACAGATGCTCTTATTTTATTTTATTTAACCTTTATTTAACCAGGAAAAGGCTCATTGAGATTCAACATTTCTTTTTCAAGAGTGTCCTGGTCAAGACAGGCAGCAGCACAACTGACAGATGAGGTCACATCAGCATCCACACAGACATCAGACTCATTATACACGGTGAAATTACATTTAGAAGATAAGAAATCAACATATCAGCAGAGATCAGAAACGTAACTCGCAAAAATAATCACCTGTCAAAACATCTCCAGACTGATGCTTCTGCCTCCAAGTCATTTAAGAACACTTTAGGGTTTTTTAAGGGGGCCGGTTTTTTCTGAAGTTTTTCCGGTTGGGGGGAATTTTAAAGGTTTTTTTTCCCTGTTCTGTTCTAACCTTGGGAACAGACAGTAACAATAGATCCTGGGACCTCTGACTGTAACTACCTGCTGCTTTTGGACAAATAGAAATCTGTAAATTACAAGGAAGCAAGCCTAAGATAGATTTATAAATTACAACGTGCCAGTGTTTTTTTCCTTTGTGTGGTCAAATCTGACCATCCAACATGAGAGGACAACAAACGGTGATGAGTAGAAGACTTAAAATTAGCGTTAAACCCTAAAGGACTGTAATAAACTGAATCTAAAACACTCAGGCTTTGAGCGGAAGCATTCATGTATGTCGTGTCTCCATAGTCCAACACAGACGTTTATCTGGATTAAACAATCATAACATGCAA